ATAGATTTAAATTGATTATTAAAGGCAAATGTTGTTTCTTTTAGAATAATGATGTTTATTATGGATTTGGTATTTTCACAAATAATTATATATACCTAATCCTAAAATGCTCAGGTTCACTATAAATGACAATAATAATATATATGGTAATTAATATTCATATTATTTATGGCATTGTAGATTAGACCATATTACTGAAATAAGAATCATTATATTATAAATAAAAAAGATATTTGATCATTTTGATTATAAATCATATGAAACTTATAAAACTTGTTTATAAAGTAAGATGACTAAAACACCTTTTACTAGAAAGAGTGAAAGAACTAATGAATTATTAGGTTTAATACATACAAATGCATGTGGACCAATAATAATTATGTGCCATACTTGTTTCATCATTAAAGACTATATTGGATATGATCATCCGTATAAAAATCTAAATCATTTGAAATGTTCAAAGAATTCAAAAATAGAATTGAGAAACAAACTAGAAATAATATTAATATACTTTGATCGTATCGAGGTAGTAAATATTTCAACCACGATTTCAAATTTTATCTAATATAGAATGAGATTATCTCATAATGAACATCTCTTAAAAAAAGAAAGAAATTGCACCCTATTGGATATGGTGCAATCCATTATAAGCTATACAAACCTTCAACTTTTCTTTTGGGGTTATGCCCTACAAACTACTACTTGTCTTTCAATAGGGTTCCATTAAGATCTATTGATAAGACTTTATATGAGATATGAAATGGTAAGAGATCAATCTTATCATATTTAAAAAATTTGATGCGTGATGCTTATATGGAACATATTTTATCTGAAAAACCAAGAGCTAAGTTAGATAAATATAAGTTTGTGGGATATCTAAAAGAAACTATTGGATATTATTTGTATCATCCCATGGAGTAAAAGTGTTGGTATTAAAACATACTATATTTTCAGATAAAGAATTTGTTCTTGAAAGGAGTAGTGAGAGAAAAATAAAACTTAAAGAAGTTCAAGAATTAACAACTAACATCCAAATAAAACCTAATCATAAGGCTATAACATCGAATATTCAACCCAAAGCTCAAGAAATATAAAAACTCTATAGATTTGATAGGATACACCATGCATCAATAAGATATGGACTTTTCATGGAAGTTAAAAAACAATAAATTGTTTATACTTGATGAGTTTATCAATTACATGGAACCAATATTTGATATTGATTCTAAAAAATGATGTAAGACCATGAAATTTAAAATGAATTTCATGTACACCAACCAGGTATGGACCTTGGTTGATCTATAATAATGGATAAAACTCATTGGATGTAAATGAGTTTTTAAGAGAAAGATTAATATACAAAATATAGTACATATGTCCAAAGATAGACTAGTTGTTAGAGTTTATAAACAAGTATAAATAGGTTGACTTTGATAAAACCTTATTTCCAGTAATTGTATTAAACCTATAAGGATTTTGCTTGCTATAACTATATATCATGATGATGAGATTTCACAAATAGATGACAAAATTGTATTTTTGAATGATAATTTTTGAATGATAATTTTTAAGAAGATATGTATGTGACACAACTTGAAAGTTTTGAATTTAAAGAATTTATCAATAAAATATACAAGTTATAAAAATTCATTTATAAATTTAAGCGAGTTTTAAAAAGTTAAAATATCTATTTTGATGAGATAATTAAACAATTTGATTTCATAAGAAAATATATACAAGTCTTGTGTTTATAAAAAAAAATTAGTGGCAGTAGAATTGTTTTCCTAATATTATATATATAAGATATATTATTTATAATAAATGATATTTCTTTACTCCTATTAGTAAAGATCTAGTTGTCTAATAATTTTTTTGCGAAGGATATAAGAAAAGCAATCTATATATTGAAATAAAGATTTATAAAGGCAAATTTAAAAGATTGCTTGGAAATATATTAATAACATTGGCTTATTTTTTCAATTAAAATGACAATAAAGCCCTTGGACATAAGTTTTAATTTTTTTTATTTCAAGGGCAACCAAGTAATTTTATTGTGAAAAAATTTAAAAATCTTTTCTATCCCTACATAACTTGAAAAGGATAATTATATGGAAATAATCGCACAGCAATTAATCACTACACTATTATAACAGTATAATGAATAATATTCTGTATTTTAATAGACATTAACTTCCATTCCAGCTTTATATTTTTGTTAATTACATATATTAACTTCCCTTTTAGCTTTATATATTAAGTTTGACACACCATTCATACAATCAAATTGAGAAAAAAACATAATTCAATAAAATATATTAATAATATTAACACTTTTTTTTTTGCGTGTTAAAAATTAATTTAAAATCCTAAGAAAGTGAGGTCTTATATTAGTCTTAAGATTCAAAGTCCTTAATTCAAACTTGTGGAATCAAGGAAACGAGCAAATTTCTTTTTACCATCAAACCAATCAATAAAGACATGAACAAATCTCTTTAATCATCAAACCAATTACTTAAAAGTGTGATATATCTATTTTTTAATATTAATTTCACTCATACAACAGTCTATTATTATTATTATTATTTAAATTTCATTATATATACTTTGATTTCTTATGGATACTAATGTTATATTTAAAATATTTTTTACTTAAAAATATATTAAAATAATATATACTTTTTACATTTTAAGATTTATTTTTAACATTAAAATATTAAAACAATTAAAAATATTAATTTCTAATTTTTATATATATATAAAAAAAACAGGTTAGACTCCAAACTCAAATTATATTTAACGCAATTAAAAATACTAATTTCTAATTTTTATAAAAAAAAAAACAGCTTAGACTCCAAACTCAAATTATATTTAACGTGCGGAGGTGTGGAAAATTTATGTACCAAAATTAAATGAAAGGAGGGACACGAAACTGTAGGAAGAAATGATTGATATTTTCGAAGTTGAATCTAACCAAATATAGTATAATATTATTTAGAAAGGATAAATGAATCAAGAGATACCAATTGGATCCGAATCATGGGAAAAAAAAATCAACGTAGACAAGTAGATTGCTACATTTGATTTCCATAGAAAGCAGGGTAGAAGAATCCCTCCCTGTCACGCGCATACGCTCATAGCCACAGATGTTCTTAGCTAACAAAACCAGTTTATGTACACAGAAAGACTGTTTCAAACTCAAAGATTCACTCATTCATTTCTACCTCATCTAATCAACAAAGTCTCTCAATCTCTCTAAACCCAGAAAGAAAAAAGAAAAACAGAAACTCCCTTTTCTTCCTATAAACTGAAGGATCATCGATGGGACAGGTCCTAGACAAATTTCACGGTACCTTCTTCCTCTTCATATCATTATTTTATTGTTGTTATTATTGTTATTTATCGTTATTTATCGTTAACCAAATCGTTTATTTTTCTAGTTTTTGCTCCAGTTTTTCTGTCTTCTGAAGCTTCATGGAAATAGTATTTTTCTTACTGTTCTTCTTCATGTTTTCTGGTTACCTTTTCTTGTGTTAGAAAAGAATAATTTTTTCCTTTGTTGATGATCTATTATGTGAATATTCTTTACTGGGTCACGAGATTCGCTGGGATTTTTTTTTTTTTCATGAAGTATGTTACAGGTTCTTTTTTTTTTTTTGTGATGCCAAGTGTAGGACATGTGTTGTTTGTTAAGCATCACGATGCCATATGGTTTGGTTTTACCTATTTGTGCAGGGAAGCAGTGGAGGGAAAAGCAAATAAGGTTGATTACAGACAAGGCATATAATCACATAAAAAATCGTTCGGGAAGTGCTAATCTCACTTTTGAAGACCTGTATATTGCTGTTCTACTTGTGTACAAGTATAAAACTGTGTTTTACTATCTTGTTTACTCATTTTACATTTTTTTTATAGCCTTTGAAATCGATTCTTTGATCAAAATTATATCTGGTGCTAGTCTTACTAATTGTGAAGTTCATTTCTTATTGCAGTGATATTAACAAGCGCTTGCCTGGTCCCCATTTTGATCCTCCTTCGAAAGAGCAAGTCAGAGCCATGATGCAGGTACTCTACTTCATTTGATACCAACATAAATCTCAAAGCATTCTAGAGATGTTTCTATAGTGAGATTTGATGGCTTCTTGAATATAAATCTCAAAGCATTCTTCTATAGTGAGATTTGATGGCTTCTTGAAGTAATTTTTCAGAGAACTAGTCTTTCTAGCAGTAATACTTATGTGCTCCAGGTAGCAATAATGTTCATATGAAAATCTGAACATTGTATTCATCATCATGGCATCTCCTCCTATACTTTAATAGTTTAACAAGTGTAGCAGAAGTTATATATATATGGTTCAGAAAGCATATCATATGATGCTTGTATCAAAATGTATTAAAAAAAATGATAATTCTGATGAAAATAATTGAGCTTTTCTGTTAAATACCTTGCCTTGCTGCCATTGTTTCTTAGTTGTTCACAAAGAATAGGAAGACATCCTTTCAGAGTAATTTCCATTTCCAATATTGTGGGAGGTATATGTTCAACAAAGCTGGGAAAACCTCGATGCCTTGAGTTTAGGACTCACTCTCTCTTTTCTGGGTACCAAATGTTTATGATCTTGCAAGTGAAGGTAAATCCATTGATTGTTCTACATGCAGGCATGCGATCTGAACCTTGATGGTGAACTTAATCATGAAGAATTTGTGAAGTTTATGCAGCAGTTAACAGCAGACACGTTCATTGTGGTTAGTCAGGGGTTGATTATCACTTTGGTTGTGGCCCCAACAGTTGCCATGGCAACAAAGAAGGCTACTGAGGGTGTCCCTGGTGTTGGAAAGGTGGTGCGAAAATTACCCACCTCAATCTATGCATCCCTCGTTACTCTTGCAATTGTGTGGTTTCAAACTGCACGTCAGGATGTTGACTAGAGGCTTCATTCTTGTTCAGTAAAAAATAATCCATCCTATAACAGTACAATGTACACATTTTGCTGTTAGCATGCTTTTTTTTTTTTTGAAATATGTTGCCAGTAATCAGTTTACTTCTTAATAATCAGGATGATAACTTTGCCACAACTTGGTGAGCTTTATGTAGTTGGTTTATATTGTTTGTCACTCAGGGTGCTTCTACAGTAACCTGATTTTATTTTTTTGTTGGTTTATATTGTTCGTCATTCAGGGTGCTTCTACAGTAACCTGATTTTAATTGCTTTTTCTTTCTTTATTACTGCACAAGAGGTTTTAAATATTAGCCATCTCGCTTCTCTGCCAAGGTTGATTCTTTTCGCCCCTGCTTAACACTGGCTTCCAGTACTGGATTCGCCTTGAGTAATAAAAAGAATCAGGATTGCAAAGAACGCAACAAGACTTCCTCAGATTACTGCGTGCAACTTCCCTTACAGGATGAGAACAGGGGAATTTTTTTTAAGGAACTCTACAAGAAAATTAAGATTGACAATCTTTATAGAAAAAAAAAGTCTCCATGAGATTACATGATGTTTCTCCAGGGATTTTCAGATTGGTAAACATGGATCATTCAAGGATGATACTCTGGTATCAACACGAGGGGTGAAAAAAATTTACAAGTGTGTTTCCCAAAGAATATGTAGGTGTTGAAGCAACAGCCTGCGAGGATCATAATCAGGAGTTTGATGTCTTTGATATACACATACTTTTGCGGATTGGCATGACAATCAATTATTCGCAATCAAACATTTAGTTAATACCAAAAAGCATATTCAAGAAATGGAGAGGCCACTAAAACATACGAAGAAAAACTGGCACTTGGGAGGATTGAATACTCTAATGTTTCATCGATGAAGGTCTAAATACATGGTCATGTCTTGTTCTGTTACTTAACAATTGTAGCTAACAACTACCAGTAACAGTTCCCATCTGCAAATTCCAAGAGTTCAGAGACATTTCGCAGCTCTTGAATGAGACTTAAAACTTGAATAGCCAGCAAGCTGTAACCACAGATGTCAGCACTACAGAAAGCTTTTTAAGCAGCATGGTTGAGGACCAGTTTCAAAGCAACAGAGGTGAAATCAAGCATAATTCACCCTTCTAGCTTAGCTTTGGCCGAGTCAAGTTGTTCTGTACAATATTCACAAATTAGTTATACGTATGCAATGTTGTTAGAGTTGCATGGAGAACATTGAAATATTAACCTCGAGTGGACGTGAAATGATCTCTTACTTTGTTCAGAAGCTGTTGCTTTCTGGGCAGTTGTACGGAAAAAAAGGTTCCCATTTTTTTGATAGACAGTCTGCAGTCAAGGAGAAACAATGTAATGTCCTCCGTAAAATAGGCTTATTACCACCATACAGGGAAACCAAAATATAAAATTTAATTCGGTGAAAGCTAAACCTTAGCAGGCATATTACTAACAGCATTTAAGCAGAAAAGGCTGTATAGCCTTTATATTTTGGAAAACTAAGAAGACTGTAAATAACATCCAAGCCATGTTCATAACCATTTTTAAATCTATCCATGAATATGAATTTGGTTTCCATGGTTGCAACTGATTTGAGCACTAGATGGAAAAAGTTTATGTTTAGACAACAGCTCGAGTTTGATATCCAAGCACTGCATTCTACAGTCTATTAGCATATTGAATTTAGCTGGGAATTATAGGCGGAACAATTCAACCATATTTGTATTTAACTATTGAGAATAAAACAACTTGTAAACCAATCAATTCACTTAAAACCACAATTGAATACATTTGAATTCTCTCGTCTCTACACCTCCAAGGAACCACAGTCTTGCACAGCAAACAAAACAGAATCCAATTATAGAGCAATAGTCAACTGCAGTTAAAATGGAAATAACTTGTAACAACACCATGCCATATTGATAAATGATATATATGACAACTCAGGCATCAAAAGTTTATAGCCTGCCTGACAAAGGAAAGGGCTAATATAGCAAATAAGATAATCAATAGCTATTTGGGATTGGTAAATAAGGATAGTCAAGTAGGGCAATTGCTTTTAGTAAATTTGACAAAAATTTCTACCAAGGTGGTGCAAGGAATTCTTCCCAGACATGGGTTTGAGGCAAATAAGTGAATAATAGCAAGTATTCCAGCTAATAAAAGATGTGTGCTAAGAAAATGACTAAAAAGAATTGAATGGAAAAGAAGAAAACATAGTATTCCAGCTAATAAAAGATGCGTGCTAAGAAAATGACTAAAAAGAATTGAATGGAAATGAATAAAACATAAAGAGAAAACTGAAGCCTTCAAAAAAAGACTATAATCTGCTAATTTTCACGTCTAATCTACCAAAAAGACAAGGATTACAAGTTTTCCCAAGGACTTGAAATAGTTGTCAGGTGTTCCCTCCATCATGCTAATTGCCAACCTATTCTTCTCTGTATAGTCGGTATCAAATAAAAACACTCGACTGAAGCTATAAAAATCAGGGGAAAAAAGGTATGGAAAGAAGATCAGCATCAATGAATCCAACAAAAAAGGAAAACAAATTCCACCATGCTCAATTAAACCAAGGCTAAATGTTCATGACAACATCATTCCTTGACAGAAAGCAAAAGTATCAGAAAAATCCTTTTCAACAAGAAAATAAGACCATAATGTTTCTTATCAATGAGATGGTTCTTCCTACCTAAAACCCACTTCTCATACGCCATTTTATATTCGAATAGTCAAGAAATTATCATCTTCTACTTGAACAGAACCCGAATAATACTCAAACAAATAATATACTGATTTTGATTCTTTTGATGCACAACAGCACAGGTAATCAAATAATCAAGGCAAAAGCAGAATAAAGACCCAAAACTGGAAGCTAAAAGGAGATACAGTTGAAAGAAGCTTACACGAGACGATGAAAGATTACTGAGCTCTGCTATTGCTACTTCATGACTTCTAACCTGATAAATGAAACCCACATAAATAAATTAGTCATATAAGAGAAAGGTGAGAAATACACAAAAGGAGGTACCTTTTTCATGAGATCGAGATTTGTGCCGGTGGCAGAAGAGGAGGATGCCATTGGCATAGACAAACTGTTTTTAGAGCTACCGGCTTCTTCTCTCTTTTTGGAGTGATGCCCGGAGAGAGTACAAGAGCTTATTTCTAAGTATTTTATACTGGTTTATTGCATGGTTAGAGACCGGGTCTGGATTGATCCAATTAAGAAGCTAGGTTTTGGGTTATATAGGTTAATTCATGTTTAAAAAAATAATTTTTTTTTGAAGTATTAATATTTTATATAAATAAATTAAGAAATAATTCATATAAATATAAGTTATACGGATTATAAATAATAAAGTTCAAAATATTATTTCAAAATATTTTTTTATTATATATTAAAAAGATATTATGTTAATACGTTACCTTTTTAAGTTGAAGTATTTAAATAATTTTTTTTATATTAAAAAACATATATATTTTTTTTATGAATATAAAGAATATATACAAAAAGACTTCAAATCTCGCGTTAAAAAGGTGAGATCTCACATTAGAAACAAGAGTTCAGAATCAGGGCTTTATGAGTAGTGCTGATCGCTAATCTGGTGAACAAGTTCTAGGGTGTCCTCGCATCACCAAGAATAATACCTTGAGGACGGTAAAACCCAAAGCTTGAAATATTTAAATAAAAAAGGTTTTCTTTTCATATTAAAAAAAATATTTTTTTAATGAATATAAAGAATATATACAAAAAAAAATTCAAATTTCGCGTTAAAAAGGTGAGATCTCACATCAGAAACAAGAATTCAGAGCCATAGCTTTATGAGTAGTGCTGATTACTGATCTGGTGAACAAGTTCTAGGGTGTCAAACTCAAAAGTAGGCTCGCATCACCAAAAACAATACCTTGAGGATGGTAAAGCCCAAAACAGACAACATATAATAGGTTGGGCTGAGCTATTACATTTAGTATCAGAGCAAATAATGACTCATCTTAAGGTGGGGGGACTTGATATTCCACATCGAAAGTGAGTATTAGGGCTTTATGAATAGATCTGCTCGATAACCTATTGTATATGTTTTGGGGTATCAAGCTCAGAAGTGGGCTCGTGTCCCCAAAAACAAAACCGTAAGGGCGATAAGGCTCAAAGTGAAATAATATACGATAGGTTGGGCCAGAATATTATAGAGAAAATAAAATATTATTCTAATATTAATATAGTAAATTTTAAAAAAGGTTAATAATCAACTAAAAAAATAGAGAAAAGGGGTATCTACTTGGGAGAAAAAATAGGTCTTAACCATATTTTGTTAGGTCACCCAAGTCATGGGTCAACTAAGTTTTGCTGAGTTTTTTCTCATCCCAGTCTTTTGCCTTACCTTGACTAGTCTAACTATCGGGTCAACCCACTAGTTAGTTTGGTTTCTTTTTTCTAGGGTGTCATATTGGGTCATGGATTATCAATTTGGTCAATTTTGACCTTAAATTATCATGTTTTGGATAAATTATAAGGTTGAGATGGAAGTAAAGCATGTAGTAGTGCATGAAAATTTCCAAATCTAGATAGAAAGTTTAAGCTCGAGCATAATTGGTGTGTGTGTAAAATGATTTCTAAGTGAAACTAGTAAATTTAGTAAACTTTGTTAGTAACTTTTGAATTATGTATTGGCTCATGGTAATTTTTTATCTAGTAATATATCTAATTATGAATAATATCAATTTTAATGTGATTTTTATTTACATTGCTTGATTTAAATAGATATTCTATCTATATTCATAAAGTACTAGAGTGTTTTGCCATATATCAAGCATTATAATGCTAATAAGGTGATCAATACTTATACATAGATATGTTGTGGATGTGTGTAAAAGGCTATGTATAATGGACCCTTATATAATACATAAGTAATGATAATACAAAGATAATTGTGCTTAGAACTATAGTTAATCATAATGCTTCAATATAGGAGTAGACATTAAATTTAACATGGATGATAGAAACATAACTACAATAATAAGAGAGGTTTAATGAATACATTAGTAATTATCTTAGTATAAGTGACACGACCAAATGATTGATGTCTTCTTTCAAGTGTAGGAGTGTCGAAGTAATAAATAACCTGGCAAGACCGGAGTCGAACCACAGGGAGGTTAATTGTATAAATTATAAATAACA